CCTACATTTTCTAGACAATCTGCTCACAGTTGGCGGTGTAATTGTGAGCCTTTGCGCCGGACGCCCTTTACTCCCAGGGAGATTCCTGGTACTCATTTCTGTTAGAGGTTGAGTCGACCCGAGGGCATAGTGCGGATGGAAGGAATATGTCAATTGAAAAATCAAGTAACTTCATCGGGAAGTTCATCGCGACCTTCCGCCTTGTAACATTGTGCCTCAACCAACTACACAACCACGTGCCCCACATAGTGCAGTTACCGATAAAAATATGTGTTTAATCTTACAGGAAGCAGAGATGATCATACCATAACTTTAAATTTTATATACTGCATATTTCGTGCCCTAATTATTATTTACAGACCAATCACAATTTTAAGCAATTTTCCAAAAAAATTTAAAAGTGTAATACATGACCCGCTCTCCTTTTATTTTAAATTTAAACTTCACTCATCTCATCATGGTTTTATTAAATCAAAGTATACTGCAAACAGTTTACTTACTTACTTAAACTGTATCACAGTTTCTCTCAATTCACAAGGCCAGGCTGGTTCAATTTATTTTGACCTCAGCCTTTGATAAAATTCCTCATACTCTTTTGCTACACGAACTCAGTAATTTTTTACTTTCTGATCGTTATGTTAATAGGTTCCAGAGTTACATGTCCTACAGTCTTTCCCTTGTTCGTGCTTTTTGGAACTCTTCCTCACAGTTCCCACCCTGTCAGAGGCCCCACAGTACTCCACTTTGGGGCCTCTGTTGTTCAGCAGTGTCACGTATATGAGTGACTGTAGACGGGGTTTGGATTAATGATCTGATTTGTTTTACTCTTTGATAAAGCGCATGTCTGCACTTTACAATTCACTGTTACACACACACACACACACACACACGCGCCAGTGTCCACAGCCACGTCTTCACTATCACTTGCTAGCAGACGTTCCTCTTCCTCTGGGTTCCCGAACTGTCCCCATGCCTGAGCTACCAGCCTCTAACAGCAACAGCTCACAACGACTGGACCTCAGCAGTTCTTTAACTCACTCACTCACTCCACTCCATTCTCTCAGTCAACTCAACTGACACTCACTAAGTAACTGTCCTGGTTATAACATATCGACACGGACCGCACGGAAAACACATTTCCTCTGTTACTGTTTAAAAGCTGTTGCCTAGAAACGACCACTGTCCAGTTGTTTCTTTCGCGGTCGTTGCATAGCAACGGTTCTACATGCCACCCTGTTTCAACTGCCTTGTTTTGTATTTTGTTTGTAAGTGTTTTTTTTTCGTTGTTTCTTACTCTTGCTAACTTATGGACTGTTAAGAATCGAACTGAATTTAATCGACTCATTGTCATCATTAGTAATCATCGTTTTGAATGTGATATTAACAAGTGGTGTGTGGGCCCTTAAGGTAAAGTAACCGTTATTACAATCGATATGTTCTATATCACAGGATGTGGCGAGACAGGGCGAATGTTTTATCCTAACATTGTGACGTCACAGTAGCAAAGGGGCGGTCGGCAGACCCCATCACAGCGTGACGAACACGGGTCGGGTCAAGCAGCAGGAGAGTGAGGGGTGGCAAATGTTGACACTACTCTCTGACGTCATCACAAAGACCAGGGAGTGTGAAAGAGTTCTGGATAAAGAGGTTCATGCCATTCACACAGTGACGTAATTTCTGCCCGTCAGTCACAGATTGCAATAAAATTTGAGATCGGGCAATATGTAAAGTTGTCCCTGTGCTTAACTAATTAAAGTCCAACGCTATAAAGGCGTATGAGGGAGTTGTTATATAGATCCACGTATTCTTGACCTCTGCACTAGTTGGTGAGCGGTCAGCTTCACGCCCCGGATGCTTTACCCCCGAAGGAAGAGCCCCCGATAGTCATTGAATATTAGGCTGGCTGGGCCACAGAGCCGGTTTGGACAAGGTAGAGAAAAGAAAAGTCTCTCCCCTTTCGGGACTCGAACTCCGACCCCCCGTCCGTCAAGCCCGGAAACTATTTTGAGGGCCGATGTGGATCTGTGTAAGTGTGTGAATACTTGTAATATGATGCGATGAAACCACAGTCCATGAATTTAAACTATCCCAGCAGTGGCCCTCATAAGGATGTCGTCCATTGTTACGTCTCTGAAGAAACTAATTTTATTGCCTTCACATATTTCCGCCAATATGGACCATCTTCAGAGGGCATCAATTAAATGGAAAGGCTACAAAATTGATTTGAAATTATAACATGTAAATTGTGTCAAATTCTATAAAATCGAGTCTAGCCAAAACGTATGAGGTATAACCATTGGTGGCCGTGCCACAGCTCAGGCGGTTAGTCGTCGGTTTCCCACACGGGCGGCCTGAGTTCGAGCGCATCTCAGATCATGTGGGAATTTTGATGGACAAAAGATACTGGGGCAGGTTGTTTTCGAGCACTTCGGTTTCCCCTGCAAATTTTTATTCCATAGACTGCTCCACGTTCATCATCATCCATTATCCAGAGGCCCCATAGTCGCCGACGTATCAAAGGGACTCAGCCTCGCCCTACCCCAAGAAACTAAAAAACCATAATCGTTGTTGTACATTCCTCTTGCTTCTCGTTATGTTTCTTGTTACATATCGTGGCATATTTTCTTAAAGAAAGAATTGTGGAGCCAGAGAAACAGCCATTGCTAGGTAATGGCTATGCAAAAGCAAAAATGGAGTAACTTTTACAAGCGATGATTTTTGTGCTGTTCGTGCCGGGGCCCTGTAACGATGACCAGCTGCCATTACAGGTGAGTCTTGAGACGCAAGAGAGAAGAGTAGGAGGTTGGTGTGAGATGGCCGCCAGCCTGCGAGAACATGAACAAGAGAGCAGAGGAACGTCATCTGTTGGAAGCCGCTACCAAGCAACGTGACTGAGAACACTAGTCTGGTTGCGATAGTGATTTGTAAAGTATAGTCACAATTTTCATGTAAAAGTGTCTAATAAATCCGATTACCAATCCAGAGCCCGTCTATGGTCGGTCACGTGACAGTATGGTTGTCAGAAGTATGTAATATATAACACATGTAAACACCACAACAGAAATAACAGATAACGGACAGCAAGAAAAATGAACTACACCCCGTGAAAAGCCTCTTTACGCTTGCCTCTTCTTCAGTGAGCGAATGATTTCCAAACGGCAGGAGCCCTGTGAGGAATGTTGTGGGAAAATTTTGTGTAGTGCAATTGAAGTGACCGTAATTTGAAAATTTCGTAACATTAGTAAAATCTTCATGACACCCAAAACATGTTGGTTTTAAAATGAAAAAATAGAGAAAGTTAAAGTTCTGGTGCGACGAGAGGTCTGAGCGCTCCCAAATATGATTATTGAATCACTTCTTTTATTTTAGAGGTCAATGACCTCATTTGAGAGTCATTGAAGGTAGAATTTGACGCTAGGCCCAGTCATTTCCTCCAGTTTATTTTTATTCCAAAAAATATACCTCGAGAGGATAATTGATCTTTGCCACAGCTTTATCTCGTACAGGTTTCAAAGTTCTATGACAATGGGTGATCCCAATTCCAGCAGCATTTAAAGATGTGGGTGATTAACAACTGTGTTTGGTCACAATTGGCAGTTTATGGCCATTGGGAACCTTCTGTTTAACATACAATATTTCATGCAATTTCATGCGAGCTCGTGTTCAAGGGTCTGTTACAGAAGTGGCAGTAATGTTTCGTATGTCAGCGGTCAAATTGGAACTCAGGGCCTTTAATTGAGCCGGTATTTACGTCAGGAATTAACACCGAATTCAAAGAATAAGGCAAGTAAGATCTAAAACACCGTTTGCTAGGCCTCGAGCGTGTTACGTTTTGAAGTGTTGTCTTAATTCCCGCAGATGCTATTTATGTTGGGTATTCTGCATTGTGTTGGGCCTGGTGTCCGGAGTTAAGGAGGAGCTCTGCTGGTTATGTACAATTGAGCAGGCTTTTTACGTGACGACGGACGCACGTTGCGGTTTCCAGAACTTCTTTTTTGAATAAGAACAGAACGATGGATGATGTTAAGAATTTTCCTGGGGAGTAAAGCGCGGCCGGCGCGTAAGGCTGACAACCTTACCGCCATCTTTGAGCCGATTGTCTAGATAATGTGGAAATCTCAACGTCTCACAACCCTATGGGCCTTCACGGCCTGGTACGGGGGTAGCTTTACTTTATACTTTTTATATTTACATTTCTCCATCCTATGACGGTGATATAAATTTAACTATTTTTTCGGCTACTGAACCCACTTCCTACTTCATTCTGAGCTGAGGTGTCTCACACTGTAAGAATACGCGTTGAGGGGGCTTGAGAACAAACCGAGAAAGAATAGAATGTACACTTAAAGTACATGGAATAACAGATGAACAAGGAGGTGGGTAATATTAGGTTCCAACTTCGTATCATTTTCCATTGTAGGAATTAAGAAAGATTAAGTGGTCGGTTCGTGCAACATGCTAGACGGAAACGAAATATTTACCCAGCATTTCCGTCCAAGAATTTCTGCTCTTGTGCTCAATGGTGTCTCCTCTCTCTCACAAGTGATATATATGATATGGAGTGAACGTAGCCAATTTTATGACATAGCATATTTCGTGGCACGACATTTATGTTCGAGATATCGAGAAGAAGGTACAAGATTCGAATTTTAAAATAACGCAAAACAGCCCAGCTGTTCTTTGGTAGTATAGTTCTCAAGTGCGGTTGCCATTTTGATCATTTAAACCAGCTTCTGAACATGCGCATGCGCGTCTGCTACCTAGACTGTCATGAAGCTGAACTGTGCTGCTACCTAGTGATGCACATAGAAAACCTATTAACGTCCATTATCTCTATTACAGTTGTTTTACTTTCATCTGTGAAATATTTACTGATTGTCCCTCGTATATGCCCTTTGTGAAGCTGCGACTTCAAGCTCACTTCGGTAGGAATGCAGCATGCATCTCCCCTTCTCTGCAAGGAGCTTACTTACGATCCCTGATGTACTTTGTCTGTGCAGCCAAACTGGATGGCGTCAAGACGTACATGAGGATGCGCCGTGTCCCAAACCATCTTCAGGTGAAAGTCATCAAGTGGTTTGACTACTTGTGGCTGACGCAGAAATGTTCCGACGAAGAGAAAGCTGTCAGCTGTCTTCCAGGTGAGCAGTGCAGTGTATAAATGGGTGGGGGAAAAATGCATACAAAAGTTTGACTGGAAGTCCTCACCCCGAGAGGCCAGTTTGGGGGTCTGAAGCAATTCTTGCAGAAGGTAACGCCTTCCATATTATGCACGAAGTACAGTGTGATTCTAAATTATTGTCCGGGTTTCCGTGGCCTATAATTTTCGAACCGGAAACAATAAAATAAAACTGCTGACGGCAGTTGTTTTGCATGCTGTAGTATTGATTCTGGAAGTGATAAAACGTTTAAGTTACATTTCCATATTCTTTAAGTAATTTTATTCTGTTTTTCCGGTTTGAAAATTACAGGCCACGGAAACCCCGACAATAATTTAGAATCACTCTGTACATTAATCGGTAATTCTGGACGTTTTGCTGTGAGGCTGTTTGGTATTTGATAACGTGACGGTCTGTACTGCCAGAATGGAACCGCTGCTACTGTATGAGCATGGTCGCATGAGGAATGCGATTTTTTTGTCTGTTTGCAACTGCCCCATCGCGTTTCACCTGACCTTCCCCACAGAACATGTTGGTTAAGATAGCCCTGGACTTGTATTCCGTAGGTGGTTGTTTCGAATCTCAGCCGGAGCACCGGTAATTCTGACAGGTTTTTCGTGGTATTGCTCAGTTTCACCAGGTAAATGCCTGGATATTATTTTAATAAGACCACGATCGCTCCTTTCAGTTCCGTTTATCCTCCCATCCGACCGTATATTGTCTCGGTACTAAAAGAGTGATCTTCAAATATTCCTAGTGGCCAAAAGAGACCTCTCCCACCGACGCGATTGAAACTTAATTTTCAGCGACCTTCACAGCCACAGTTGTGCGCCATTGAACGACCGGTTTCTTCACAAATTCACGTCTCTTAATCTCATAGTAACATCAACGTTAACTTGCATTGAGGTCATTTTCCATCATTTTCAGTTTGTTGGCAGTTGACTCAATCGGTCGCTTTATAGTCTGAGCATCTAGTTCGATTGTTTCAGACTGCTGGCTGCATGGGGTCGGTTTCATGATAAAAGGAAACCCCGATCACTTCAATCGTACCTCGGACTTGCAATCTAATGAGTTCTTGTATACTGGTCATGCTTCGAAAAATCGAAAGTCGAGTTCATTGTAACGTGGGACGTATAGGGTTACGTTCCTATAGCTCAATATTTACAATATGTTCACGCGTTTGAGTGACTATAGACGGGGTTTGGATTGGTAATCTGATTTATTAAACTCGTGGCTACACTTTACAAATCACTATTACACACAGACAACTGTTCCTAGTCACGGTATTCACTGCGTTGCTTGGTAACGGCTTCCAACGGCTGACTTCCCCCTTCCTCTGGGTTCCCGAATTGTCAACGTGCCTCAGCTGCCACCTTATTACTTCTCACAGCTGCAACTCTGGATTGACTGACTCTCTGCAGACTCTCTCTCAACTGAGTCACATTGTCACATTGCGACTGACGGTCACTCAGTCAGTAAGTCTTGATGTCTAGCCATTTATTACTGCTTGACAGCTACGGTCTTGTTTTCGTGGTGGACGCCCTCTCTGACGAGAGGACGGGTCTGTCTTTTGTATATGCTGCTGACACTTGCCAGTGCAGTCTTTCTCGGGTTCGAGTCCCATGGGACTCGAGACTATATTTTACTGTCTCAGATATGAGACTCCCCTTTTCGTCGCTTCCTGCGACTCGCAAGGTGACGGTGGAAGTATTCAACCCCGCATTGCAGCTGGTCCTCGTTATATATAGCCTCTGCACGGACCGTATAGAAGACACTATTTCCAGCAGCTCTTCTATTATTGTGTTCGTGTCTGTTGCTGCCATTACGTGACGGCTACTGAGCGATTGCGAAGCGACGATCGTGTTTCAGAACCGTTTCCTAGCAACGGCTCTTTGTTGGCGTCACAGTTCTGGCTTTCAACAGACATGCCAAAAAGTTTTAATCTATATAATACGATAATTCTATTCTACTGCGAAATCTATAAAGGAATGCCAAATATCGTATTATTAATCGCCTAAATCATTAAAATGTTAGAAACAAGTAAATTAAGCGCTGTTTTACAGTAGATTATTCGAGTCACCAGATCGTTACAATATGGCGTAAGTCAGAAATTCGAGTTTCGAGTAGTAAGTACGAAAATTCGGAGCTCACACCAAACGGGCCATGATTTAATGGGACCGTAAGCCTGCTGCGAGACTGCAGTTGCGATTGTCGCCGAAACTGAAGTTCCAGTCTTGTCTGTGGGAAGTCTGAACAAGAAGCGACGGGACAGTTGAAGACAAGACAGTCACATGTCGCATACCACCATTTTTATGCAGGAAACAGGAGAGCAGCTCTAAACCCTTCGAATTAAGCATTTTAATGGGAGGGTTCTCACAGAAGACGTTTCCTTGCATGATCCCCACGTATTTGCCGATGACCTAAGTTTTTAAACGTTTTTCCGTGCCAGAACTGAGCGTTTCAAAAAACAATTAGTATTTATTCCATTTTTGGAACTATAATCTCCGAATAAAGACTGGAATGTTAAGAATTAATTAACGGATCTGTAGTCGAATATTTTAAAAAGAAAACAGCTCAGTCATTATAGCGACTGGCTACGGACTGGACGTCTGAGGGGTCGGAGTTCGAGTCCCGGTAGGGTCAAGAATTTTCTCTGCTCCACGTAGTCCAGACCGGTTCTGGGGCCTACCCAGCTTCCTGTCCAATGTATGCCGGCAGTTCTTTCACCATGGATAAAGCGGTCGTGGTGTGAAGCTCGCCACTCACCTCCGACTAGTGCCAAGGTCAAGAAAATGTGGATATATACATCCACTACCCCGCATGTCTCCATGACATAGTGCTTAATTAGTTAAGCACAATGACAGCTTTACATTTTTACCCTGTATATACACGTACACAACTGGTTTATGCTTCTTTCGGAATAAATTATTATTTTCGCGTGCGTTCCCTTCAGGTGTGATTCTACAGTGCGTACAATCAAGTGCGCGCCGCGGCTGCAATTTGCCGTGAGTCATACCACCGCAGAACGGATGCAACTCCTCCCCGCGACTGCAGTGCCGTTCCCCGATAGCGTGAGTGTAGTGGTGTCGCTGAGTCTCCGTCCATCAGTTGCTCTACATGCACACATTTATAAGAATACAGTAAAAAGATAACTTACCGTGGTTTATAACAGGTGCTGAAAGTGACCTCCTTCTGCTTGCAAACATGCCGCGCATCTCACAAATAAATTACGCGACACTCTCTGCAGTTCGTCGACGGTAATTGAATGAATTACGCGTGTAATTTCATTTTGAAGACTATCAATGCTGCGGGGATTATTTTTGTAGACTTTTTGCTTCAGGTTGCCCCAAAGATAATAATCAGAAATACTGAGATCTGGGGATCTGGGAGGCCACAGTCCTCTACTGA